GCCTCACCATTAAGTCACCTTAAGCGATAAGACCTATTCCAGAGAGTCATGAAATATGTAAACAGAAAGATTTCATCGGGATATATCATTTGTTTATTTTAAACTTGACCATATGTCTCGTATATCCTTTTCAATGGTACTATCACGTATCACGTGTAGTGGTTCACGAAAATATTTCAACTCATGTATATGTAGAAACTTTTCCTCCGTATATTATGTATATTATTATAAAAAATGTTGTATAATATGTCGAGCGTATATATATTGGCACTATATAAGAGGTTGCTGATTCACGAAGATATGTATATTTATCATTATCGTATCAGTATCATTATTTTTGTTACTAAATCAAGTCAATTAATACGCTTTTACTTATTCATGTATAAACGATTTTACATTTAGTTATTAAGGCTAATTTTACTTATGGAACTAATAAGAAAAGATAAACGTCTCTTTACTTTTATCTTAAAATCTTTGCTACGCTTTCATTGTATTTTAATAAATTTCGTTAATTCGTTAAAAGCATACGAATTTAAGAGATATAAACGTTATATGTATTATAGATAATTAATATTCAGTGATGTAATTTATTGTCATGAACTATTTTTAGGGAAGTTTGTAAGTTAATAATTTTGTTAATTAATGATTTTTCATTAAATTAATTTGTTTGTAAATTAATGATTTTTCCTTTAATTACTAATTCTCTATTATATTTTTTATAATAGGGTATCTATTCCTAGCTTTTATGTAAACTTTTCTAAGAATGTTTTACAGCAAATCTCAGCACTGAACACACTTTTCTACATCTGGTCCGATGAAGAATTGGAGGTTTACAACACTATTGCATTTACGTTCTTCGCGCACTTCAAAAAGGCAGGCAAATGGTTTCGAAGTTTATTTTACTATTATTCAAGGACGCAAAGAACACGTGAGTCAACTGTGTGCCATTTGGGTATAAGGATGGTTACTTCGTTGTTACAAAGAACAATTGATTTGAAAAGAATACATATATTAAAAACCCTATACGAGTTTTTGTATTTATTATCGTTTGTGTACTTGTTGCCGTTTATAATAATTATTTCTAATTGTCATTTCTAATTATTACGGACCTTAATCCCTTCTCTTTCTTCATAATATTTCATACATCTTTAACAATTAATTGCAGGCTAATTTACATAAGACAGTGTTTGCAATACATAATCAAAAACATATCAAAGCTTTTACGATTACAAGTATTTCTTTATTTAATCTAATTTAGTTAAATTTGATCCAGTTTATATAGTTACTCATAGGCAATATTATACTCTAATATTTCATCAATTAACTAAAGGATAAATGTATTTGTTTTCGGAAAAATCGATCTTAAATATTAATGCTTTATGTTTCCATCAAAATATCATCCAAGAAATGCGTTTCTATTGTAGATAATTGATAAAAAGTAATTTCTTTCGAAAGCTAAACAAGAATTCGATTCTTAAATGGATTAACAGATAGTTATAGAAAACAGGTTACATAATAGGAATTAATAGATTTTTTGTTCTTATATCAATGTACATAGATATATGTTACTATTATTAGAACAAACGTGTTTTCTCTTTTTTCATCCGCTTCAACTTTCTTTTTGAATCATTTATACCTTTTTTAATAATCTTATCTTCAAACGTTTTTCTAATGCGTAATCTTACTGAAATGCGTAATTATCCTGATCGAAATACATTAGAAGTAAAGTTGCAATTTGTGTTAAGCTTCGCCGGTATTCAGTTCATCGCTTATTATGCTAAAAACTGTTCGCATTAAAGAAATAAGGTGTACCGACCAATAAGGTTTTTACCAACTGGAATAAGTATTGTGATATATTAAAAAACAAACGATTCTTCTAACGCTAACATAAATAAATAAATAAATAAAACAATAATCTCTTAAACACTGTGGTATCCAAATATTATTTAATAAGAATCATTGTATCTGGATGTTTCGTTCAATAAACCGAATGTTTGGAAACCATAATAGATACATAATTGTACGTACTGAAAACTAGCCCTACAGCTGCTACTATGGTACATCTGCTATACTTTTTCTCTTTCACACATTCCTTTGTCTTATTCATTGTCATTGATACATGTGCGCCGCGTTTAGCGCTTTTATCTTGCTGTACGGATTAACGTGTATGCATCGTTATGATGAATTGCATGATCCGAGACAAGCAGATTCATAACAGAAATGTGATCACGGTTTTGCTGTATCAATGACGTCAATTTCCAAGATGTTCTCGATCTTGCTACGATGTAATTAGCAGACTGCCGATATTTATACATTTATAAGAGATTCGAAGATGTGAAATTGCATAGGCTATATATGATATGCAAAAGATACTCAAAGTGTTCAAAACGAAGTATGTACTCGTTATATTAGTTAGAAAGTAGAACTTTTCACTGAAATTGTATTTCTTTAATTACGTCTTAGTAATGCAACTAAAATTTAAAAGATGCTTAACATTCGATAATTTAACATACATGTAGGATTTAACAAGTTAAAATAGAATGTATATTTTACGTTAGATATTTTGTAGCATTGAAAAAGAGAAAAATTATTCTTTAGACATCAGCCTTCAGAGGTTTAAAATAAGATATCTATTTTTGATGTTTCGCGCTGTGTAATGAAATTTTAAATAATAGTCAATATTGATCTAATGAATATTAATATATTATATCAAAATACTAAAATGATCAATGAATTTCGTTATTTTTTTTTTTACAAGTAAATAAATGAAATAATTTTTTATTTTACTTTCTAATTGAATTTTCATAATTTAATGCTTATATAATAAGCGTAGTGCATGAACCAAATATATTATACTATATATTACCAACTTTAATTATTTTATTTATGCACATAAGTCTAACTGTCTTTACAGTAAAGATAAGAATACAAGAGCATATACGTTAGAGTTATATATTGTTAGTGATTAAAAATGAAAAGAGAACATCCATCTAAAACATAAATAAAAGTTTAACAAGGAGTTCTTTCATCGATGGAATTGTAAAAAATTATTTTAGACGAATAATTCATAATGGCTCATGAAAAGTTATGAATTTTAATATTATTAAAATGCGTTTAAAAAAACTATTTTTATTTTATTTCTTTATTATTTTGTTTATTCTGATAATCAATTTATAACGTTATTAATGTCAAAAAACATTATATATTTGTTTGCTTTCTCAAGTATGTAGATATTCCTTCCCTGAAATGATGTGAAAAAGGCAAAATTCTACTAGAAAGGTGTTGCGATCTTATCTATTATGTTGTGATATTATCTTTAAGCCTGTATATTTGTAAACGTTGAAGTACAATATTTCTGCAAATGTTCACTAAGAAGTAACATTGTTACATGAAAGTGTTATATAAGAAGCAAAGTTCAACTTATATTCCTAAGTATAAATAAAAATGTAATGGTAATGATTTAACTAACAATAAATTTGCACAATCATCACAGCAAACTAGAAAGGTAGCATTCATTAAATAATTATTTTTATGATACTATATAAAAATTACGAAAATAACGTCAATAGAAATTTGAACAAATAGTAAAATAGCAGCTATTTAGTGATAATATACAATCTTTATTTATTATTTAAAGTTTTATTAGGTGACAAAAAAATATTATCAACTGGCACTGAGAGTGTACTATATATATAAATGTCGATATTTCTAGAAATGCTTTTCTTTATCTTTTAATGTATATGTAATATTTTTATGTATGTTTCGTTTTAAATAATTTGTTTTATTATAATATAGACATAGTAATCAAGTTGATAAAAATTGTTAAATAAGGTAGAAATTATTCTAGAATGTGTGCAATGTTAATGTTATATAAAGGATATATTTTGCAATTTGAGTGAAAGAAATGATTTGGTATATAAATATTTATAATTATGATGCTATAATCATTTGTGGCTATTGTAAACTTAACATTCTCTGAAGATATCTATATAAAAGTTAATCGACAGGAAATTGCAACCACATTGTATACAAAGAAAACTTGACCTTGAATATTATTGGCCTTTTATCTAAAGCGACTCTGGCACTTGTTTTCGTATGGTTTCTAAATGTAAGTAACTGATTTTTAGATAGATATTTCCCTTCAACTGACTTAAAAGATTCCATAATAAATAATGTACTTTTTATCTTTGCTGTAGTAATAAGTAATACAATTTTGGTACTAGAATATCATCAAGTACGTAAATACTTACATAAATTGTAAAATAACTCAGGAAATAAAGAAGCAAATACTACCAAAATATAACTTTGAAATAATTTTATGAAAACCAAAGATGTTTACTGACAATTATAAACAACACCATACAAATATTAAGATCATTTTAGATTTCCAAAATTATTATAAAGTATCGTATCATTTATTTGTTCGAAAATTATGTTACCTTTGTTTAAAAAACTGTCTACGTTAAATTTTTCATTCATAAATTATTCTTCTAATATATTTCTAATAAAAATATAACATTTTCAACAAATTATTATTTTAATAATTTATTATTTGTATTTGAAGTGGATATGTGTAAATCTGAGAAAGGTATAGGTTCGTTAATACCTTACTACGATGTTGAACAAGCTAAATGCAATGTGGATAGCGCATGCGCACTGCTTCAAAACTCGATAGTTTATTCCCGAGAAATGGTTTCCTTTAAGTTGGCTGCTCTGTCATCTCTTTGTTCGTACTGGCAACAGTTCGTACTGGTAATACTGTCTATCTACTCTTACGGTTGGGTGGTCTCATTCGTCTTTCGACAGTTCAAAAGAAAAACGATCTATTATATTGATCTGTACGACGCACGACTCTCTTAATTGCAAGCTTAATTGAAATTTTCGCTTCTATTCTTCTATCAACAATCAAAACGTAAGTATTGTTAAACTAGACTAACTTTGTTCATGGTTAATAGTGATCAGCCATGTTTGCCGGTAATCATGTTTTCTTTTACTTTTACATATCATATTTACTACGCGCTAGAGAACAAGATATTTAATTAGTATTGATTGTCATTTATATGTGCTTAAATAAAACAGATGAAGTAGAGATGAAGTGAAGTAGAGATCAATATTATAATTAGTGTATAATTAATAGTTTTACAAATATATGTTTTGCATTTCAACGCATACAAATAAAGCCATAGTACAAAGGGAGATCATTAAGTCAAAGAAAAAAAGACGGTCTGTTCTGTTCTCTAACTTTTTTTGAAGTTCTGTGTACATGATTGGTGTTTATATTGTGAGAGATATAGCTTACAGTTTGTATCGATCTCTATTTGCACGAATTACTAATTTAAACTGATGCCCTTGTAAACCGGTTGTAACGGAAAGTATTTTGGAATGTTCGCGAAATAAAAGTAAATAGTATAATAAATATCAATTGTAATTTTCTAAATATATGTATGTATAAACTATATTTATTATTTAGATTATTTTTATTAAATTTTGTTTATAATATTTTCAAAGTGTTTTATTTCAAATTGGAATATTATCTTTTAATTATTGTCTTTTAAATTAGATTATTGTTGTTTATTACGTAGACTTTTCTCTATTCTTATTGTAAAATAAAAATAAAATTTGTTATAGGATATAATGGATTCTGAATGGTCTGAAGAACCTCAAACTTCTGTAAGTATTAGAATTTCAATACTAGAACAGTTTATGATAATAAAAATGATTGTCATTTTTTATATTAGTATGACAGTAATGGACGTAGTTATGGAAAAGGACGAGGTTTTATACCGCACAACAATAATAATATCAACAATAATAATATCAACAACAATGCGTGGGATCCTAAAGACGCAGAAGATACCAAGAATGAGCAATCTAATACTGACAAATTTTGGCAATCTACTGATGGTTATGATTACAAAGTAACAACCAGTAAAGTGGAAAAAGACGGAGAAGGAGGAGGAAAAGACGGAGAAGGAAGAGGTAGAGGCAGAGGCAGAGGGAAAGGCAGAGGCAAAGGAGGGGAAGGAGGAGGAAGGGTTGGTCGAGGAAGAGGTACATTTAAAAATAGGGATGGAAATGATAATGATAATAATGATTACAGAAGAAATAATAATTATGAAAATAATGCTGATGATGGTAATCAGAATGACCAAGATGGTAGATCAAAAAAAACAGGTGTTGCACAAAGCAGTTGTGCAGGAATGTCACAGAAACCTAGAGAACAGTATATTCCACCAGATTTACCCAGTGATGAGAAAACCTTATTCAGTAATGGTGTTGAAATGGGCATAAATTTTGATAAGTATGACTTTATTGGTGTTAAAGTAACGGGAGAGGATCCACCTCAGCAAATAGAAAGTTTTGAAAATAGTGGCCTTAGACCCCTTCTTTTAAACAATATAAAAAGATCAGGATACACAAAACCTACTCCAATACAGAAGAATGCCCTTCCAATTATAATGGCTGGTCGAGATTTAATGGCTTGTGCACAAACAGGTTCAGGAAAAACTGCTGCATTTTCAATTCCCATTATAAATATGTTATTACAAAGAGATGCTGATCTAGGGTTATCCATGTCATACTGTGAACCACAAGCTCTTATCATATCACCTACTCGAGAACTTACTATGCAAATATGGCACGAGATTGTTAAGTTTTCATACGGTTCATTTATGAAGGCTGCAGTTGCATATGGTGGAACATCTGTTATTCACCAAGGGGGAAAGCTTTCTAAAGGTTGTCATATACTTGTAGCAACACCTGGAAGGTTATTAGATTTCATAGAAAGAGGAAGAATTAAGTTTTCTTCTCTACAGTTTCTTGTATTGGATGAAGCTGATCGTATGTTAGACATGGGGTTTTTACCTAATATTGAAAAGATTGTAGATCATGAGACCATGCCCACGATTAACAGGCAAACGTTAATGTTTTCTGCCACCTTTCCTGATGAGGTACAGCATTTGGCAAAAAGATTTCTAAACAATTATTTATTCGTCGCAGTTGGTACCGTAGGTGGAGCTTGTGCAGATGTGGAACAAAATTTTTATGAAGTTGTCAAGGGTAAGAAGAAAGACTTACTTAAAGAAATTTTACAAAGAGAACACGATGCTGGTACTTTACAAGGTACTTTGGTGTTTGTTGAAATGAAGAAGAAGGCAGACTTTATTGCAGTCTTCTTGTCCGAGAGTAATTATCCTACTACCAGTATTCATGGTGACAGATTACAGAAACAAAGAGAAGAAGCATTAGCTGATTTTAAAAGTGGGAAGATGTCTGTTTTGGTAGCTACGGCTGTTGCCGCTAGAGGTTTAGACATAAAGAATGTGGCACATGTTATAAACTATGATTTACCAAAGGGAATCGACGAATATGTTCATCGAATTGGAAGAACCGGTCGTGTAGGAAACCGAGGAAGAGCGACTTCCTTTTTCGAACCTGACGATGATGCACCACTACGTGAAGATCTTATTAAAATATTGAAACAAGCAGAACAACCTGTTCCAGATTGCTTGTTGAATGGAAGCTCGAACAGAAACTATTTGCCAGGAAGAGGTACAAACAGATATGGAGGTGCAGACATTAGAGAGGTGTGTAACTTTCTCCATTATCATACTGTAATTGTATATGTAATTTATATTTTATATGATAAATATACAGTAGCATTTAAAAGATGAATAATAATGTATATTTCTTTTTGTACAGTATGTAAGCGGATATGCCACAGCAGTGTATATGTCACCTACAGCAATGAGGCCGCAAATAGCAGTCGAGCCAGAAGAGACGTGGTAGAAAGTTTCTCTTTTTTTTTGTTTACATACTTTTTGGTATTATTGTTAGGAACAAGGTAGTATACTTTGTTTCTTTATTCCATAAGTCAGAGGTACAAAGAATTTTCTATTCATTAAAGCTTAATATGTTTAATAGTATTCTTCAAAGAAGATTAACAAGTAATAGTAAGTTTGTCTTTTATCTAACCAAATCGTGATTGATGTTTGACTGAAACGAACCAGACTGGATTACTACGTACCTCTTTAGAGTTATAAGTTATGTATAAGATCATATAATGCTACTTTTTGTTGATGCAATATGATACGCGATTTCCGAGAAGATGCGTATTCGTAGATACAGTTTAATACACTGCATTGATCGTACAAATATTAGTTTTTAAGAACAAATAATAACTTCATGGTAACCACTTAGAAACAATATTTTATTTTTATTAAATGTTACTCTCAAAATATTATATTATATTATATTCAGTGTTTTGTACGTTTCTTTTTATAATAAAAAATGCAATGACCAAATGCCTTATTTTGAATATCTCTTTAGTCATTTTTACCAAAAATATATTTACTATATAAATATAATTCGATTTCATATTAACATGTATTTTTACGATATATGTATATGTGGTCTTAACTTATATACGGAAAACAAATTAGAAATTATTATTATTATTACTATTATTGGAAAGAAATTTTCATATTAGTTCGCGTAAATACATGTGTAACATATAAATGTATATGTCTATATAAAAAGAGATATTTTTTTCGAGATATTAAAAGAGATTTTTTAATAAAAATTATTTTATTTACATTTTATAAAATTTTATAAATTAAAAAAATATTTTATACATATATTAGGTTTTAGAAATAATTAAACTTTTATATTAGCTTATAGCATTATAGGGGATGAAAAATTCAATCAGTAGTGAATGAATTAAGGAATCAATATAAACGATTACGTACGTATATAATTCATAAATAATTTAAAAAATAAATTTTGTACATACCATCATTCATCGCCATATCCATCAGATGTAAATCCTCATCATTAAGGAGAGATGAAAGAAAACCATCGGTGGTTTGATTGATCGAATCGGAAGTTGGTGTATGGTAGTACATCATATCCGCCGGCTCGGATTTATAAGCTGCTCCACTTTCTGCGCCCATCGGTTCGCTACTGTTTGTTAAATTCATTGACGTTGCTACGGCCGAACCCAGATTAGATGACCCACCTGTGGCAATTAGTATTTTAGTTCCAACAGATTAGGTACTTATTAACATTTGTTTTTCTATCCTGCCATTTTTATTATATTGATAGCATTAACAATATAATAATACTATTAGTTAATTCTAACACTTATAAGAATATCATTTTAGACATTTTTTAAAAACTTTAATACTTCTAATAATATACTATAACATTTAGGAAAATGTTCAGTATCATTTAGATAGCGTCTGTTTAAAACAGTATGTAAAGATTGATCAAATAAAAATGTGAGAATTAGGTCTTTTATAAAAATGATGCATTTTATCTTACAATATTTCAGGAAATCTACTAATGAATCATTTTTAATACAGATGTTTGCATTTACATCTATTTGGTTTCCTTTAATTGAAAAATAAGATTTTGTAAAAGACGAAATATTCTCATATCTCATTTCTTCAAGATTAACAAATTATCGTATAGAAAAATATAATACAAATGGTTACTTCCTAATACGTTGACGTATGCCCATAATTTGTCGTATTTATTTCGTTTGATAATTATAGATTTGTAAATACTTTTGCGTGTATTTTAAAATACGACATTTATTTAATTTTTCTTAATATATAAATTCAGTTATGTATAAAATGACCTATTTTTGGTATATTTAAAAGCCATTTAGAAATTATATAAATATATAAATATACACACACATTGTATATGTACATCTTATAGAGAAGAGACACGAGGAACTTGATTTAATTTATATCAATATAAATTTTTGTGTAATGAAAGTAAAATGTTTAATGTAGATCACTCACCCACATTGTGATACGGGCTCGTCGCATTAAGATCACCGACCGGTGGGGCCAAAGTAGCATTGTGAAGCAATACATTACGTTGTGCTTCATAATGACTGTGGCTTATACCGTGCCCTGGGTATCCAGGATGTGCCGGATGTGCAAAGTGATCTGGTGCACCAGGTAGCGATAAAAGAGATGCTAGATCTTGCCACCGTTGTTCCATACTCATTGCACGCATAAATGGCATGCGACCCTGAAGCATGCAAATTACAAATTAGCACATTTTCCACCTTCATATATTCTAACAAGCATTAATAATTGTATCAAACGATAAAAATACTATATATATATATTATAACGTTTTATTTTTCTATTCGAAAGGAATTTACTGCTCTTCAAAAAATAAAAAGAACGCTACACGCTAAAAAGAAAAACAGATACAATTTTCGAAAAGGATTTTCTATTTTCAAACAATGCAACGCGAACCACCCATATTTACTGCAATAATAGAAAGAATAGATCGAGTATAAACCAGATGCGCTACTCGAAAATAATACCAAAAATACAAATCTTGAAATGTTTGACCTCCGGAGATTCCTAGGCATTGAGATATCGCGACTGATTTGTCTTCAGGGTGTTTCCACCTCGTTGAAATTGCAAATGTCTGGACTTGGTTGAAGCATGTGAGACTGAATGGGAAATGACCTGAAGAAGTTATATTGACCATCTTGAGGACGGGGGATGGAAATACGGTTTTAAAAGGACTCTTAGCCTTTTATATACTCTGTTTGTTTCACGCGAATGCCAGTTAGAAAAAGAACCAGTAAAAGAAACATCAAATTTTACTTTTTCTCCAAATATCTTACATGTTTCGAATATTTCCTTCGTTATTTCAGGATTTAAATTTTCCAATAAAATATAGCTTCTCGCGAATCAAATGCTATATTTAATCTTTTTTACGATATAAAAGCAATCAAAGATGTTGAAAACAATTGTTGTAAAAACAACAGGCATACGTGAACACATTTTATTTCAATAATTACATTTATATCAAATAAAATCTATATATCGTAAGAATTACGCTCTCTTTATATCGTGTTGTCATTGATTCATGTATCAATCCACTGTCACGTCTACAAAATTCCGCGGCTATCGAACCTGTCAAATCTCAAATCGGTGGATGTTCGGATTCTAGCAAGATAGAAACCCTGCTGATCGCGTAGGTGTTGGCCACACGTAAGGTCGGGCAAGATATTAATGACTTTGGTATACCACGTGTCAAATGTATCTTTCCGGCTGTGTAAGAATGCACACCGATCATGATCAAATGTCAAACCATGCGTCAAGTATGGAAATTACGAGCAAGAAAAATTTTTATTCAAAGAATGATATTTCAATACGATAAGGAGAACAATTTCGTAGTCCATACGATCATAATTCAATAAATGAATTGCCCGTGTAATGAACGAATTATACAATGAAATATCTTCAAATTTAATAATTTTGATATCTCTTTAAAGAAACGATTAGGTTTTTAAGCACAAACTTTAAAGTAAGCGACCTTACATTTGTATACTACATATATAATGTACAAGAATATTATGCACTGTATGAAGAATTCAAATAAATTAAATTGTATTTTTTGTTTTTTCAATAAACATTCTAGCACATAAAAATAAAAAGACATATGTAATCTGGTTGCTTACAAAATGACCTAGTCTCCACTGAACGAGAGTTAATTTATCTCCTTTATCCAATCTGATACCATCGAACGTATGTAGAAACACGATATTTCTCGTATCAAAAATATATTCAATGAACACGTTAATACGTTTTCTTTCTTACGTTTCGTCGAAAGAATCTATGAGTTATTAACACCGCTATCTTCCCTCTAACAACACACGTAATATTAATACAAGACTCTTGGCTTCATAAATCTCAAGTAACACAGCGAGTGTTAAAATGGTACAGGAACGCGTAGTAAAACGTCGGCGAGAAGTTCGCCAGGGCAACGGAACGGCATGGCAGGAACAGCAGGAAAGAGCTTGGCGCGGCGAGTTGCGCGTAAGTACAGTAGTGGCCAGTGGCGCTTAATGCACGTTGGTATTGTCGCTAATGCATCGGGCCGCAAGAAGAAGATGAATAGGGAAGCTGGCGTAGCGCGGATCCGGCGCGATTGTTGTTCGGCCGCATCAATCAGTCGCCGGTGCAATCTGTCGAGCGCGACGCCTTTAAGGTGATTCTCGCTTGTCAGCGCATCTGTCGGCTGTAGGCCGCGAAATGTAGGACGAGACGTTTGTTCCGCGACGATTTGTCCTGTACGGAGGCGCGCGGGTTTTCTAAT